CAGTTTTAGGTAATAAATCTTTTTTTCTCCATATTTTAACGAATTTCTGTCGATTTCACCGTGAATTTCGATTGGAATTGACTTTCTCGATTTTTCTTCTTTTTTTCATTCCGAGAATCCAATCAGAATCTAGGGACTGAGGATGACGATGAGACATCAAATCCACCCGGAAAATTGTTAAAAAAGTGAAGGGAGGGAAGAGAGAGAGAGAGAGAGAGAGCGAGCGAGAGAGAGAGAGCGAGAGAGGTAGAAGGAAAGGACAATTTTTCAAGTGTTCCACTCAACCTCAAAAAGGGGTAGTACGCCTTTTATTTTGTAAAAATAGGGCAATATACAAAAAACATCGTAGATCATAGAACGTACCTTGAATATAACTGATTACGTGCTGAAAAACGACCTGAAAAGGTCGTAGAATTTGAATTTTCGATTTTTGGCGATTTTTCTGAATCTTCTTGATTTTTAAGCTACTTGATTCCGGGAGACAACTAGATACTAATTTTGTGGTGATCGATCGAATACGCCATGAGAATCGAGTTTCAGTAAATTTTGGAATTTTTTCGAATTCGTATTTCTAGCTTTTTGCTGCTTTTTTTGAAATTTCAGGCACTTAAGCATCAAAATGTCCCTGGATGTTTTTGGTTTTCCGGTGCAGTTTCTAATTTGCAAAAAGTAGTCAAGCGGAAAATGGGGTGTATCTATCCGGATCGTATCTAACGAGTTGATGGCATTAACTAGCCGGGGCAGGGAGGCCCGGCCGAAACTCGGCAACCGATCAAAATACCAAACCGATTTTTTTTCCCGGTTACTTTCGGGGTTACTGTAGCTTTTCTAGGGCGTGATTTATAAACCACACATCTTAAATAAAATAAAAATCTAACCGATACATAGAAAAATATTGTTGTTTGCTTAGTTACGAATTTCCTTGCGTCATCTTGATTATTTCCTTACTCGTCGTCATTCCCTACTCTTTATAGAATTTTTGCCTTTTAAAGGCGCTAGAAAGCTTAGAATTTTGTCTAAATTTAATTGTCGTACCTTAAAATTCAAATTACCAGGGCCTTAAAAAAATTAATTTTGGATTTTCTAGGCATTTTTTTCTGATTTTACTACCATCGCTGACTATTTTTCGTATATTCTGCCTTTTTCTATCGTTCTAAGAAACGATGACCCATTGCCTTCTTCCCCCAACTGACCGTGAATAAGATTATTGCGGACAGTGTTTTGTCGAGTTTTCCAATTTCCCAACCCCCCACCAGCCAATCCGAGGCCTGTTTTCGAGCCGGTCCAATTCTTTGCCCAATCCCATCCGGGAATTTTTGGGGGTTCAAAAAAGGGCAAAGAACTGATATACCGAGAATTGAGAGAGAGAGAGGGAGAGAGAGAGTGAGAGAGAGAATGAAAAAGTACAAGAACAGTTCGGCGAGATCTGTTTCTGCCCTTTTCGATCTCTCCCAATGCCAATCATTTTGAGCCCGATACGCCCCGAATTGCAATATAGAATTTTCGCTATTGAATGGAGCACAGCTTCAACTGATCCTGCATTTTGCTCTCGCTCTATCGCTCGCCCCTGGCTCTCTGTCCTGTCTCTCTCATTCTCTCGCTCTCTCTCTCTCACTCTCTCTCGTCCTCTCTCACTCTCTCGCTCACGGTCGCTCTCTCTCACTCGCTCTCACTCTCATTCTCTCACTCTCTGTCACACTCTCTCACTCTCTCACTCTCTCGCTCACTCTCTCTCTCTCTTTCGCTCTCGCTCTCTCTCGGCTTTTCGATGTTTCTGGCCCGCCCTTATCCTTTTCTCATGCTCAAGCCTACGATTTTGAGCTCCAGAATCGAAAAAATTATTTTTCTAGCAAACTTCACGAATTTTTTAAAAATTACGGTATTTTTTGGCAGAATTTTAATAGTTTTTTGAATGTTTTAAATTTTGCCGTTAAAAAAAAGCCACTAAAACTCTAGCCAACATTTTTTTGGGCAGGAAAATCGAAATTAGGATCTCCCGAGGAGGGAACATCTTTCGGGGGGCAAGAAGCGTACAAATGGGTGAGGTGACCTGATTTTTGGCAAAGAAATGGCCGTCGCCGCGAGCGAGTGGAGGGAGCATGGCGAAGCCAAGCTGCAAAGGAGACTTTTCCGTTTTACGAAAAAGTAGTTAAAAATTAAAGTCATTGAGTTTCGAGTTGAAAATTCAAAAAGTCCGTCATATCGCTTCCAGATTGACGTCAAATTTTGAGCATTTTTTAGCCATTTTTTAGGATGCTACACCCCCAAATTCGGGTGGACAATGGCCACGCGTAGAGTTGGCGCGTCAATACGCGCAAAAAGCCTGCTTTATAAAATGGATTTTGCAGCGTTTTTGATGTCACAAGGCGCCTTCGCTTGCTGTTACGGTCCCTTTAAAATGTCGTCGTTTACTTATGGACGAATTTCCTAGCTGTCACCATCCCCCTAAACGCGTTAAAATTTATTTTCAGGCTGTCACCACGCATTTAAAATACGTCGGGTCTTCTGGAGGGCATTTTCTGGTGTCACCCTCCGTCTAAAACCAATTTTTGTCGGTTTTAGCGGGTTTTTAGGCTTTTTTCGTGGCACCCTCCCTTTAAACCCCGAACCCAAGGCTATTTTGAGTTTTGCTCTCCCCTATTGAGCACTCCTTTTCGTCCCGATCTGTCTATCCACCCGTCAATAGTTGTCCCTCGGAATTTTCTTGGTTCTTCTCTATTCATTTCGCTTCTCCAATATTCCCAGACGCTTCTTTTCATACCCTAAATACCCCCTCATCTCAAACTACTTTTAGACCCCCTCTTAGAAATTCATAATTTCCATAAAAAGTGGAGGTCTCGGGGGGTTGGGGTCACACATCTCGTGTCTCGCGGCGGGCTATTTTTATGGATTTTTGGGGTACGGTGAGGGGTCAGATTTTAGGGATTCGGTTAGAAGATCTGATGCCGCTGGCTTTTTCGAAAGGGTTACGGTAGCTGGGCCATTGTACAGATTTTTAGGCCGGATTGTGAAAAATTTCATCCAAAAGTTTTTTGCTGATTTCTTAGGTTAGACTACGGTAGCTGGGTCATTTTGTAGGCTTTTCTGATAATTTTTCCTCGTAATTTTGTGATTTGATTTCATTTTGACGAATTTACTATGGTATTTAGGCTAATTTTTAGGTTTTCTAGCGTAAATTTTTGAAATTTTGTAATTTATTAAAATTTTCTGAATTTATTACGGTATTCGGGTCAATTTTAAAGCTGTTAATAATTTCGTAACTTTATTATCATTTTTAATTGTTTTAGCACTTTCTATTGAAATTTTTAGCTTTAAGACGCTCTAAAAGCAACGAGAAACTATAACGCAATCATCCTTTGCCTTATTTTCTTTTTACAAAAAGATCACAAGTACAAAAAGATGCGATTCGCCCCGTTCGGCTGCCCTCCAAAATTGGCTTATATTTTCTGTGCTTTTTGAAGGGAAGGAGGAGGCGGCCCGATTTCAGGCATTTAACAAAGAAAAAAGCAAAAAAGACAATCTAGAAAAGGACGATATGGTGGCATTTGTAGTCCATCGGAAATTCATTGTTTTCGGGGTGTTCGAGTCGATTCCGCAAAGTTTCTCTGCTAGCTTGCCACAATTTTTATTTACATAAACCGATCAGTTTAAACCGATTTTCAGAAAATTTCTGTTAGCTTACCATAATCTTTTAGTCTAAAATTTAGATTAAGCTCTCAAAAAACTATATTTTTTCAAATTTTTTCCGTAGCTTCTAGCGAATATTTCCGCGTTTTTTAGTCTTATTTTTGCATACTCTTGACCTCTCATAAAGAACGATTAACTATACGACATTTCACGGGGGGCTTATCACAAACATTTTTTGTGGGGCGGATGCTTTGCGGGGGGTGACGAACGCCTATTGAGGGTGTGGTTACGCTAAAATGGCTGCTAATTGGTGCTGACCTTTTTTATCTAGGCGGCCCGCCCGTCCGGTGGCTTATCGTATATATTAGAGGCAGGTAAACAATATATATAAGAAGCCGTGGGAAGGGCATTACGTCGTCATATTTTGTCCTTATAATCCAACAGTTATTACGTTTTGCCGCCCTGAAATTCGGTTACGGTATAAAAATTAGTCTTTTGTCTTGTTTATTAATGCTTTAGTAAGACCATCGGAACAGAAAATCATTTTATAATCATCCAAATTTTCCAAAATTCGGCCCCGACTTTTGCATCGAGTCCGTTTGACACCTATTGACGCCCCACGAAATTAAAAGTTGTCCTCCGGAATCACATTGTCAATTCGTAGCGCCGAGTGCGAAAATCCATGCTCTATACCGTGCCCTGCAAAAGGCTACAATGCACTCTTTCTAGCTATTCTTCTGTCTCTTTCTCTCTCTCTCTCTCTCTCTCTCTCTCTCTCTCTCTCTCACTCTGTCTCTCTCACTCTCTAGCTCTCTCTCACTTTTTTCGCGTCTAACCCTCCAGTTTAGTTAGTTTAGTCGTTTTATGACGATGAACCGACCCGGGACGCTATTAAAAATTGGGAAAATTGTTAGATTCTAAAGCGTGCCATTCCTACCGTAACCGGTAGCAAGCTGAGGATATCGTGGGATTTCACGAAGCTTTTCTGATCATTGAAATCAATTTTTTGGGGGGTTATTGGCGTTTTCTAAACCGCGCCCTCGCTACCGTAATCGAAAAACCGTGCAAATTCTTTAACAAGCTAGCATTCAGTTTTAATACTGTTATAGCTAACGTAGTAGATCGACAAAATGGCGCGGTTTTCAGATTTTCAACGATCTCGAGTTTTTTTCCTAAATGCTGCCCTGATTACCGTAAGCTCGAACGAATATAGACAAAAAATAGTAAAATCTAATTTTCTGACTCGAGCTACGGTTTTTCACTTTTATTTACGGTATGCATTTTATATTCCTAGAATTTAGGATTTTTCGTTGTTTTTGTCTATCTAAATCATGTTCTCCTCACTACAGTACCCTTAAATCCTCACTTTTCAGATGGAAACCAAAGAGCATCTCCTGGATTCTCGGCTCGACCGGAAATTGTCGAAAAGAGGCGGAAAAGATGAAGAAAATGGGAGTGATAGTGGAAGTGGAACAGATGGAGGGAAGACATTCTGGGCGAATATTGCCGTCGCTGCTCTTATAAATCTTCTCTCAACTATTGAGAGTACTATTCTTCTATCGGCCATATGGCCATATTTAAGATTGGTACGTTTTGCAAATTTTTAGGCCGTTTTAAAGGGCGCTTGAAGGTTGGAATCCAAAAAAATTTATCATAATTCTGAAAAATTCCAAAATTTTTTTGATTTTTTGGGCCTGATATATGCAAAGTCGACAAATTTCGTAACTACCGTAAAAGGCAACAAAATTATAATATTTTGGGACACTTTTAAAGGGCCACTGAAGGCTGAAATATGTAGCAATTTTTAAAATTTCATAAAAGGCGCACAAAATGCAAGAATACTTCTTTTTTTGACGCCTAAATTCATAAAATTCTTGATTTTTCAGTTGGACAAAGACGTCTCGTCGACATTTATGGGCCTCACAACTTCCTCCGGAAAGGCATTCCACGCGCTGTTTGCCATTCTATTCGGTGCCCTGGCCGTCAGGACGAAGAAGATCAAGTGGGTCAACCCGGAAATACGCGCAAAAACCGCTGTATCTATCGTTTAACGCAAATTCCCAGCTGTCACACTCCCTTTAAGCCATAAAAAGTATCGGTTTTTCGCCTAAAAAATGGGAAGGTGACCTTCAGGCGTAAGTTTTATGATGTCGTAATCGATTCGTCGTATCGTACAGTAGCGTAATTGGTCCTAAAAAATTCCGTTTCATGTCGTAATCGATTGTTTTTGCAGGATCTACCTAATCCTGGGTCGAATCGTCACGATTATTGGTTGTTTCCTGTTTGCCGAAGCGGAAATGGTCTCGGAAAATGGGAAATACTGGATGTTCGCGTCGAATTTGATGTTTTCCATTGGGGATAGTGGGTTTTTCGCTTTGTTAAGGAGTTTCCAAGCCTTTTGAGTGCCTGTCGAATTTCGACAAACCGCAGAAATTTCGTAAAAATTCGGTTTTTTAGGTTCCCTAATGTTAATCCGTGGGTACGTCGCTACCGCAAGCCGTCCAGTGGATCGAGGATTGGCATTTGCTGCCATCGCATTGGCTAATGTTTTGTCCATGATTATTGGAGGATGTAGGTTTTTGAAGTAAAAGGGTTTGGCATGCTAGCAGAGTTTTTTAGGAACAGAACTAGCTAAAATAATACTGGGCATGCTTGCAGAGATCTTTAAGAACAAAAACGGCTTAAATTTTGTAAAACTGAAGCTAAAGACCGAAGGCAGGCAGACTAGCAGAAAAAAATTGAGGACGAAACATGCTTGGATTGACCAAAAATGAACCAAAAGCGATGCCAGGCGTGCTAGCAAAGATTTTTGAGGCATGCGATAGGCTTGAAAATTGAAAACGCATCCTGATAAAGCGCAGGGCGTGCTAGCAGAGACAATTTAGGATCGAGAAACTTTCGAAAATGCCGTAAAACACTCAAAATTCCAATTTTATAGCCTCCCTGCTCGGCTTCTCGATGATCGGCCACCCATCCCTTCCAGGGGGTGGCGGAGCAGAGATTCTTGGTGTCCGTCTTCATATGTTCAATGCTCCGATTCTTCTCGTTGTTGTTTTAAATCTGGCTGTCATTTGTTTGGCACATTTCGGATTGACGGAACATAGACCAAGGGAGGAGAAGAACACTCAACAACACAATAATGGTAGGTGGGGGGAGACAGGGAGAGAGAGAGAGAGAGAGAGAGAGAGAGAGAGAGAGAGCGGGAGTGAGAGTGAGAAATCGATCCTCTTTGTCTCGAATCGATCGAGAAGGTCATGCGTTGCGTTGCGCGTCGCGGAAAAATCGATAGAAAATCAATAGCTCAAAAAAGTCATTTTCTTGCCTTCCCAGTCCCTTTAAGAACATCGAGGAGCTTCGGAAAACCTCAAAAAATGACAAACAGATTTTTCGAAATTTTGCTACACGGGTTTTAAGATTTTTTTAAATTTTCGAAACCCAAAAACGCGTAAAAATCGGCCTGTCACGCTCCCTGTAGACCCCGAAATTTAGGAACCGAGCCCGGCTGGCGTATCTGGCGCGAACTCCCAATTTTCCTGATTCTTCTCTGCTTCTTCGAGAAGATTGTTGCCTCTACGTCTTTGACCACAGCCATTTCGTGAGTGTCCCCACCCCGTTAAACGATTACGACATCAATTTCAGGACAACACCATTGATGGGTACTGAAGTATTTGCATGGACCGAGGGGCAAGTCATGCAGGTAGGGGAAATTATCTAGCGTAATCGGATAAACATTAAAAACCTGAGAACTTGCATTTTTAAATGATCTCTGCTAGCCTGCCTAATGAGAAATTTTCCCGAATGATCTCTGCTAGCTTGCTATGCCCAAAATCAGCTTTTTTGGCTTTTTAAAGAATTTCGGTTCGTCATCAAAATTTCGTAGCATGCTTTTTAAAAAAATTTTTTTTGCCTTCAATGGCCCTTTGAAAGTCAAAATTATTTTTTTTCAGAGAATGGCCGCCGCCAACGCGACAATCGGGATCCTTGCCCTGATTACCGTAGCCTTGTTCATGCTGTTGAAAGTGGCCACGTGGATTCCGTCTCGATACATTTTCCTGGCCGCCATCATCAATTTCTTCTTCTTCTTCTTCATCGCCTATCCACATCGGCTGATCTCGGCGCCCATCAGGATCAGGGAATACAGTAAGTCTGCTCGAAATTGCCATCGTAAATTGAAATTTGGGTTTTTAAAGGTTAATTAAAATTAACTTGAAAGAACAAAATATAGGCGTTTTTGTCTTCCATGCCCCTTTAAAATTACGGTATTTTCAGTGGACGACGTGGGCTGTAATTCGGATAGATATCCATGGTGTAAGGATACTCTATCCCCATCCCCGATGCTCTATTTCATCATGCTGATCGGAACGTTTGGAATATTCTTCCCGCTCGCCAATATCTCCCTGGATACCGTATACTCCGGCATTTTGGGGCAAATCGATCAGGTGGGTTAAAATCTATAATACAAAATTTAGATAAAATTACATTTGTTAGATCAATGTTAAATTTTACAATTTATGGCAACTTTAACAATTTAATTTTGCGGTCTAAACCAAAATTAAATTGTCAATCTTTTAAGTCGAATTTTATATTTTTCAGAGCTTCTTCCAAACGGCCATCATCGCTGTTGATGATATTTTCCAGATTCTCTGCCCGACGATAATTATGTGAGTTTTAATTTAAATAAATTTTAGCATAAAAAGTAAATAATTTTACAGTTTTAATAACATTTTTAACTTAAAATCAGTTTTTCTTTTAAAATTGCTATAAATTATGAAAAACGTGCTTCGGAATGTTATACGAATATTTTCTATTTCTATTGTTTAGGCACTCGTTCAAGTTGGCGGGTCACCCGGTGGTGTTCACGCTGTGGGCGGGGCTATGCGCGTTGGGTGTGGTGGCATGGGTTCTGAATGGAACGAGACTGAGAGCGGCTACCGTAACCCAGGGCGAGACAGTGGAGGCTGATGGAGCGCCAGAGAAAAATGGAAATTATCTCCCGGTCGAGAATAAGCCCCTCGTTAGCCCTTGAATATTTAAATTTGTCATTTTTCCATATTTTTTAATTTTAAAAAATTATTAGCATTATTTTGAGGCTCGATTACGATAGTTTTTAGTTTTTTTTTGAAATTTTAAATGGGCCGAGAAGTTAATTTTTATATACCACTCCTAGGAATTTTGAAGCTAATTTTTCCTTCGAAAAATCCTATTTTTGGTAGAATTTTGCCTTGCAGGCCCCTTTAAAAATAATATTTACCGGTTATCTTGCCCTACATAGCATAATATACGGTATAGTAAGCTTTTAAAGGAACCTGGAAGTTCATTTTCGGTTTTATAAAATTTGAACATTTTGAAAAATTGGCAAATTTAATTTCCGAATTTTTGAGGCTTCCCGGCGCCTTTAAAAGCGATTTGCGGTATTTTACCACCAATTACCATAATCTACAGTATACCAAGAGCTTTTTTTGATGAGTACGGTAGCTAAGAACACCATTTTTAATGTTTAAAAATTGCCTTTTTCGGGTTCTAAAATTCTATTTTTACTTTTTTTTTGGGATTTTTGGGACAAATTTTCCGCCGCAATTTCAGCAAAACACATTTTAGTCGATCCCATAAAAATTATGCGATTTATGCAGATTATGAGAGCAAAAATAGATCGGTCTGAGCCCCGAAAACGGCAATTTTCCCCACGTTTTTAACGATTTACCGTAATCTCCATATTTTTCTATTTTTTAACGTTTTATCCCAAAGTCCGGTGGCTTTACAATATTTTTACAAAAACAAATTGTACATAATAATCCCAGATTTCCACGATTTTTACGAAATTTTAGCGCTTTTTGCGCTAATTTGCATATTGTCGGGTGTGCCGATATTCTATGGATTCTTGCCTTGAATGTCCCTTTAAAGCGGATTTCCGGTTTGGCGATTTTTACAGTATTTTTTCGGCCGGGTGATGATGAAATGTGTGCGTGTGATGATCTTGATCCCAGCATTTGAATCCCCAAAAACAGTCGAATAAAAAAATGTTTTAAATTTTCCAAGGCTCTTTAAAAATACAATAAAACAATTAAAACATAACAAAAAGCAAGAAAATTTAGCAAAACATTTTAAAAATAGGTTTAAAAACTGAAAAAGTGAATTTAGGGTTTTTATGTTTTCTGTGCAATCAAATAGGCCAAATTTAAACAATGTATTTTTATTAAAGTTTATTAAAATTTATTTACACCAGAAAAACTAAATTTTCGATTTCAGCGACTCCTCAAAAACGAGCATCTGTTTTCGGTGTTTCCCATCCATCGAATTTGCCAGGGCAACCCTGAAAAGTACTGAAATTACGGTAGAAACAACAAAATTAAATAAAATCTAATTGCTATGGAGAAATTGGCGTTAATTCAAACGTAAAAATTACTGACTCGTAATCACCCATTGCATGGGCATCCATTTGAGGGGCGTTCAGTTGGCCGGTGACGGCTAGCTCCTAAAAGATTCATAATTTAGTAGCTGAATTCCGCAAGGATCTCTGCTAGCTTGCTCAAACTTAGACGTCCTAAAGGATCTCCTCTAGCTGTCTGATTTTCTAGCTACCCTCAAGCGGATATGCGCTTCCCAAATGGTTTCTGCTAGCCTACCATGCCTGCTACCTGTCCACAAAGACCTCTTCTATAGCTTGCCAAACCCCGGCGGCCGTCCTAAATGATCTCTGCTAGCTTGCCTCGCGCCCTGGAGTCCCCAAGGACCTCTGCTAGCTTGCCAGGCCCACTTCCTAAATAATCTCTGCTAGACGGCCTCGAGTGTTAGCTCGAAATTTCCCGAATACTGTCTGCTAGCCTGCCATGACTTGATGCGATTCTCCAAGGGTCCTGGCTAGCTGGCCATCCTCGTGATAAAATTTCCTAAATGGTCTCTGCTGGCTTGCCCACGCTTTTAGAACCCTGTGATGTTAAATTCATTTTCTGATTTGCTAAATACTCTCTGCTAGCCTGCCATTCCCCAAAAACACTCTGCTAGCTTGCCATACGTTCTATTCCCAAAAAATCCCTGCTAGCTTGCCTGTAATTCCTTGAGCATCCTTTGCACCAAATCCTGGTCCAATTCCAGCAATGACATTCCGACGGCGATTCCTGTAACGCGAAATGTTACGTAAAAACTAAACGAATTTTCGTTTTCTGAACAACTGAAATTTTTGCCTTGCTAACCCCTTTAAAAACCACCGTACCCCTGACCCTGATGTCATTGAAGACAAGCTGTGCTGTCGAGAATTCGTGTGCCTGTTTCGACATCCCGCCTGAAAATACAGCCTAAGAAAATCCATTTTTTTCCCAGTTACCGTATGTGACGAGGGTCCCGCCACGACACAGCGCTCCAGCGATTCGAAGACTGCTCCTTCCACCAACACCATTTAACGCTAGCTTGACGGGCTTCTAAAGAGGGATTTATGGGTTTTAAAGGACCATGGAAGGCAGGAATCCATAGGAATTCGCTGCCGGCAAAAACTACTAGTTTTTTCCTAAAAGCCATGTGCTTTGACGATTTTAAAGGGCCATTGAAGCCAGGAATCTATAGTCATTTTAAGCGACCAAAAATCTACGTTTTCTTACTAGAAACGGTAGGTTTTGGTGATTTTAAAGGACCATTGAGGGCAAAAATCGATATGCAATCGCTATCGCAAAAATACGGCTTTTTATATAAAGTATGAAGGGTCTTAGCATTTTAAAGGGCCAGTGCAGTCAACTTTACCTCCAGATTCGCCAAGAATTTCTTGCCCTCCTTTCCGAATTCCTCTTCTGAAAAGATGTGTGTGGCGCCCATCGATCGGAGTTCTTGCTGGAAAAAAACAGATTTTTGGTTTTAAAGGACTAATGAAGGCGCAAATCAATAGATTTTCATTGACTCCTTTCCACTCACCGCTCGTTTCCGATGTTCTGGATGGTCTCTGATGATGCAGATTGTGTTGAGCCCCCAAGCTAAATCGAATACTTTGGACAAAACGTCGAAACGACCGTACCCCACGCCAGTTGAATCACCGCCTGGCCAACCCCGGAATTCGCCGAATTTTGGATGATCCAGTCTCCCTTTTCCAGATCCACGTAAGTTTTGAGCATCAGCCACGCGGTACAGGGGTTTACGATCAGAGTGGCGGCTGTTTTCTGGAAAATAAAGCTTTTAAAGTCAGCGGGAAAGCACAAATTCATGGACAGGCTAGTAAACAGTAAACAGTAAAATCAAAATTTCGGTATTTTTCGATTTTCAACACTTTTCGTGGTAAGTATTGTGATGAAAATGAAAAAAATATTCCAACACGCCCTAACTTCTCCAAAAAAAATTGATCAGGATTTTAAAACCCCGAAAATTCCAGCAAATCCGAATTTTCAGGATTTTTCAGAGCTTCTCAGGTCAAATTAGACGATTTGATATTTTCCACAGTATGAAAGATACTTTAGGATCTCCAAAATTGATCCCGAATTTGATAGTTTGTTGAAACATGCGTCAATTGTCCCTAGGCATTTTTAGACTCAAAAACATGGTGGATTATCGTGTTTTTCTTTTCATAAGCTCGAATTTCGTTATGGATTTTGCCTTCCAAGCCCCTTTAGAAACGTATAAAACTAGAAACCTAATGAAATCGTACCGGTTCAATCCGGTTATCAACTTTCACAAGCCCGTCGGCTTCAACGACCGAATAATCCGCCCAACAATCCGGCCGAGGCATCATCAAAGGCACCACCAGGTCTCCGGTTGTCAAGTTTGAGCTGGGACCAGCCTAAATTTAACTTAAAAATGTAAACAAAAAAATTTTTAAATGGTTTGATAGTTTTTACGTCACCCAGAGCAACTTTTGGCATCTAAATTTTTGTTTGAAGATTAAAAAAAAATTTAATACAAAAAATACTTACTCTAACAACCCTGCCAACCGCTTCCCCACCGGGAATCGCCGGCAATTCCCTTTTTATCGCATAGACACCCTGGATAATGTTGATGTCTAATGGATTTATTGGGGCGCAGAGCCAACGGATCAGCACCTAAAATAGATAAAATATCGAAAATATTGAAAAATTAAATTAAAAGGTGATTTTTCGATTTTTCGGCAAGGATCTGTCAGAAAATGCATTTTTCCAAAGCTTTTGGATAGTGAAAATTCATTTTCAATTTTTTATACGTAAACACGAATCGCCTCTAAAATTAAAATACAAAAATTTCGGGATTTTACAGCAAAATGCCAAAAAACATAAATTTTTCGATTTTTAGAGAATTTTCAAACGTAAAATGTCCTCACAATTGTACGCTGTTAGGAAGTTTACGAGTTCTATGCTATAAATAATGTAAAAATTAAATAGTAAGATTTCGATCAACCCACCTGCCCATCCCCGAGCTTAAACTGCATCTTCTCCCTCTCGAGCTTCACCACTTTTCGCGGGTCTCCATTCTCGTGGAAACGAAGGAGACGACGGTCCACGAATTCGTATACTTTTGACATGATTTCTAGGTTAAAACCTTAATTAAAACCCAGTAGAAATTACCGGAAACCAGCCGTCAATTTCTTTGGCTGGAAAATCCGGGGGCTCTAATTGGTATTGGGTGATTGATAAGGAGTAGGGGGGTCACATCAGGCTACAGGCTACACAACACACCAAATGACGATCGGCGGAACATCGGAAAATCTGTGGAAATTAGCAAAACAAGCGCTTTCAAGTGTGCCGATTCTCCTGGAAAACTCTAGGAACAAAATACAAGAAAAAATAAATTTTTTTGCGCTGAAAAGACAAGGTTTTCAAGGGATCAGCAAGTCGGAATTCCTCAATTAAAACTCCAGAAATTCATGCAAGGTAGCTATAGATAAAAACGGTAAAAGTATAAAAACCATTACAGGCCAGCGTAAAGCGAGGGACTCAAAACAAAATTACATTAAATTCCCACAATAAAATGACATTGAAATACAAATTACGCGCTAAAATATAACAGTAAAAAGCGTAAAAATGACAATTACAGGATACTTTCCAGGGATCAAAAAAACACTTGAAGATCGGGATT